AATTGCTGTTTACGGAGTACTGTCAAGCTGTCCGCACTTCGGATTCCGCCGCAACATTATTCCGGACTATGTCAATGTCTATGAGGATGGCAAGTCGACCAGCAACAGTTGAAAGAATTAGGAGAGCATGATTCGAAAAAAAAATAGATCTAGAAGGGGAAAATGTCTGAATTTACTGTATATCATGATATTAAAGGTACTGAACTGGACTTGTAGCTGCGGGAACATGCCTCTGATCCACAAATCACTAATGAATGATAAGCAAAATATTATCAAACATTCTATGTTGAAACTAATATATCAGTCATATGTTCATGAAGGACAGTGGATCATAAAAGATAGTCTCACGGGATATATTCCGATGAGTAATGGCCGTCAAACGATTGCAAAGGAATCATCCAAGACAAGAAGAATCCTGAGTGGCTATCACAGCCAGAATCGAGGACAATATTGCCCTCCTGGTATCGACAGTCAACTTCAAACGTCATGGTAGTCATCATAAAGATAGGGTATTCCTCAACAGGGCGACATATGGGAAGCAGAAGAGAACAACAATATTACACAGAAGCGGAGATATGAGACAACCAAAGTAAAAGAGCCAGTGCAAAAGAAGTCATAACAGAGAGTCGCCAGTCAGGAATGCAAGTCCAGCTCATGTTTGCTGTTGTGCTGCGTCACCGGTGTTCGGACGGTTGAACCACGAGATCCAGCTTCCCCGGTTCGCTTTTTTCCGAGCTGCCTCCTCGTCCTCAGCCGCCTTTGTCTCACTGACCAGTCGTAGTGGGCGTAGTTTATTCTGAGTCATAACTGCTCCAGTGTAGTTTGTCATGCCGGTGCTGGAGCGTGGTGAATTGGAGGTCGCCCCAGTGGAAGCCGTATCATGCGGGTCACTGGTAACGCTGTTGGAGCTGCTCATTCGACCCCGCTCTGGCTGGCTGGAGAGAGACGGCGCACGGGTACTCATGCTCGACATATAGCCTGTCCCTGAAAAGACACTCTGACGAGAACCGGGACCCATGAGGGTCGGGCTCATAGGCCCACCAGAGTTGCGTCCAGGATACATCTGACCGACAACTGCTGCTGCTGCAACATCCGCCTGGTCTGATCGGGTGCGGCGATGGCCACGCTGTGCTCGATTGATGGGAATGCTGGGTGCTGTTTCGGGGTTTTCGTGAGCTGTCGGGACACTCGTTGGGGGTGGCATGAAAGTAGACGGGCGAGATCTATGTTGAGAACGATTGGGTTGGCCGGCGACGACTGACTTGGCTCTTTGGAGAAAAGTCTGGGAAGATGCGTCATCCTTCTCTGGAGGCGTCGGGGGCAGGTCCTTGTCAGTTACTGAAGATGCCTGCTTTGCAGTAGTTGGAGGTTCGTTTTCGTTCTTGTCCAAGATGGTTTCGAAGCCGTCATGTTGCAGGAGACGACTAATAATGCGCTCAATGTACAGGGTCAGGGCCTTGTTCTGGTCCTTGAGCACCTTGATCTCTGTTTCGAGTTTACGGGTATTGTCGGTTTCCGCTTTGGCATCCACTGACTCGAGCTCGTCAGCCAGAGAGCCCAATCCATTGCTGGGTTCCTGCCCCTCATCATAATCGGGGTGGGCTTCCCGCATGAAATCACCTTTGGTGAAGTCCCCATTCAATGTTCGTTCGCTCAAGAGTAGCTGATAACTCTCGTTGTCCTCCATCAGACGAGCGTTAGCCATCCGAGCTTCCAAAAGCTCTTTCTCCAATTCGCGTTGCCGGCCACCGCCTTTGTTCTCCATCTCCACGAGCTTGATCTGGGATTCAGCCAATTCGAGACGAAGAGACTCGATCAGTTTGTCCTTCTGCAGAAGCAGCTTCGAATTGTTTCGCGATGGGCTCCGCTCGATCTGGGATGAAGGCGCAAACTGCCCTTCCACCTCTGGTGAGGACCGATTCAGGAAACTGGCTGTAATGACGTGTCAGTAACAACTACTGAGAGCAGAGAAGGAAGAGAACATGAGATGAATTACTCACAAGAGCGGGAAATATTCTTCTCGTTATCAGCGTTGATTCGTATCTCCTTCTGAGCCAACGTGTCTTTCAAGCGCTGGATGGTCGCCTGCATTTCTTCCTCCCGACTCAGGTGCTGCTCCTTCTCCTGCAGCATGGCATTCCGTTCCAACTCGTGTGCCTGTTCTAGGTCTCGGATTTGGCGAATGTGGTCTCTGATTTCACTGTTGAGAGCTTCAATTTTGCCGTCCTTCTCATGAGCCTGGTCCTCCAACTTGCCCTGCTCGCTGATGGCTTCGTCGAGGCGCATTTGCAAGACACCAAGTTGCTTGCGATACTGCTCCGATGCGCTCTCAGCTTTCTGCAGCTGCTCCTTCAACTCTTCGATCAGAGCTGCATTCTGGGCGCGGGCCTCTTCCTCGGACGGATCGGCCGCCACCTGGGGTACATTGGACATGCTGAGGTTGGACCGACCAGGTTTCCGGGCTGCAGCGCGCGCAGAGACCGGAGCGGAGCCACGGAGCGAAGGCGATCTGGATAGACCGTTCGTAGAAGCACTGGGGGATCGAGTATGAACTCGCGACGGGGTTCCGTTGACTGTGTTATTGTCCGTAGTGGCGGTTTTGCTCCCACTGCCTGGAGTCCCAGGTTTGCGGGGGTTAGCGGACATATTCACCGATAATGCGAACAGTCAAGTTCGAAAGCGATTTGTACGACAGACGTAGGAAAATAATGTCTGAATAAAGCCAGCTGAAAGAACAACTAGTTCCAGGCCAGGAGAAGCGACGATGAAACGGCCGGAAATTAGCGATCAATTTAAAGGAATCAGCGTATATAGTAGCGGTCAAAACACGGTGGACACCTAGGTAGTGGGAGAACTTTCGAATGGCTGGCGACGTCTAGCCACCCACCTAGAGATTCAGCACCAAACCAGAATCAAGGAGGATAAAATCAAAGAAGAAAGTTAGAAGTGTCACGTTAGGGACCAACGCAGTAATAATCAGAATGGAGAAAATCTGGGGGTTGAAGATGGAAAAATAGAGCGGACGACTCAATTATTTGGATGGAAACGGCAATAATACAAGCGATCGTCCTATCCGTTGCAGCTGCGTGTTGGGTTCCCCTACCAACAGCAGCAAGCGCCTAACGGCTAACTAAGTACGGAGTAAAACTAACCAACATGAGACCAACGCATGTTTTAACTATCCGACTACCTTAATCTCAGGATAACCCGTACTGCTAAACTGCTCCATACTGTAATACGGGGCTGAAAGGCAGAATACGGGTCAACCTGGCCCCTTAACGTGGGAGCCAACACGAACTTTACGAAGTTGGAAAGTCTACGTTCGACAGAAGATAAAGATAGCACAGCATCCATCGTAACTCCATACTTCGATTTCATAGGCAGTTCCTTGCTGCGTGCGTACAAAATCCAGGTGGCCATCTGTCAGCCTGAAATAGTGTTCACCCGAAGTGGTGTTTCCCTGCCACTCCAACTGATATTTGCCTCTTTGCCTCTGAATGTTGGTTTCAAATTTGGTTACAACTCTCAAATGCTAGAAACTCGGTAAGAGCTCACGCGTGAGGAGTCCCAACTGAACGGGCCTGTAATAATAGAATAAAGGGACTACCTAGAGACATCCGCATGGATGCACCTCAGATGGTTGGATGCGATAACGGAAAGATACCTGTAATTGGATTTCAGCCCCCTGTACGGAAACAGCGGGGTTACTCAGCAGCGTCTCGCAGAGCGGAAGATCTCTGCTCCGGCCAGCACTAGGGCAAACCCACAAGAAAATTAACATGAAAATCAATCTGGGAATCGCTTCTTGATCGCATCCCAACCTCGAAAACTTCGGCCGGAGCGCACTTTTCCAACCACCCTTCAGTCAAATCAAAAAGTTTCGTTCGACTCGAACAAAACAGCGTAACGATGGCCCCCAAGAGCAAGAAGTCCGGTGACACCATCTCCAGCCGTCTGGCTCTGGTGATGAAGTCTGGAAAGGGTGCGTGACACTTGATTCGAATTGACGTCGAAGACCATATCACTGATTATTCTTGCCCCCTACAGTCACCCTTGGCTACAAGTCCACCATCAAGACCCTGCGTTCCGGCAAGGCCAAGCTGGTCCTCATTGCTGCCAACGCTCCTCCTCTCCGCAAGAGTGAGCTCGAGTACTACGCCATGCTGGCCAAGACTCCCGTCCACCACTTCTCTGGCAACAACGTAAGTCACAAGTGTTTCTGCAATGGTTTTCACTGCTATGCCCCGACGCTAGTACTTCTCCGATGGAGGGAAGGCGACGCGGGAGCAGCCCTGAGAAGAAGCCGTATATCTGGGCTTTGGAGGGTAAATGACAATGGCTGACATATCTCCGTACTACAGATTGAGCTCGGTACCGCTTGCGGTAAGCTCTTCCGCTGCAGCACCATGGCCATCCTCGATGCTGGTGACTCCGACATCCTCAGCAGCCAGTAGGTGTATTGCCTCGAACATTAGGTTCTTGTTATGTCTATGCAACCGGGTGTTTTGAGATATCACAAAGCACCACTTAGATAATGACAGAATGAATGAATGAAGGTCCACACCTATCTGGAGCGATAGTACTTGGGCGTAGTGTAGAAGCAACGGAAGTATGATGCAGTACCTTGTTTTCAGTTCTACTTTTCAAGAGTCAGACTGCAGTAATGGAGCAGCTTGACTCATAAGAGTAAGCACTTGAGTTTGTATCGTCAGAAAAGGCATTTATAATCTCTTCATAGCCATTCGGATTAAAGGGCAGCAACATTACCATGTAAGAAAGCCTCCGATCTGACAAATGCGTCATGACGAGGACGGGACGTGATTGGTGGAGATATTAGGGTTTAGGGCTTTGCCACTCGTTAGCGGAGTTGCTTGGAAATCAACGTCGAGACTTGCCCGCAGGCGAAGAATTCCCCCTTCCCTTTTGAACTCCCGACACCACCTTTTTCGACAACCTCACCGTTCGCAGGAAGTGCAGTCAGCCCATTTCCAGCAGTCACAATGGCCCGTCGTCCCGCGAGATGCTACCGCTACTGCAAGAACAAGGTGCGTGCGATCGCTTGATGGAGGATCTGATCTCTTTTTGGGAGTTTTCGTGTTCTGTGGATTTTGGATCGGGAAGCTCGCTTGTGGGGAGAGCGACAACGCCAACACCTGTTTTGACAGGCGAAGGAATGAAGAGATGGAATATATGTCGTCGCGATTTTCCTGGGGCCTGGATGGATTTATTATTTTGATACATGCTGTGAGGAGGATGATTACTGACAGGATGCGTTGAATATAGCCCTACCCTAAGTCCCGGTTCAACCGTGGTGTTCCCGACCCCAAGATCCGTATCTTCGATCTGGGACGTAAGAAGGCCAACGTCGATGACTTCCCTCTGTGCGTGCACATGGTCTCCAACGAGTATGAGCAGCTGTCCTCCGAGGCCCTCGAAGCCGCCCGTATCTGTGCCAACAAGTACGTTGATCCACCATCCGCATCCGCAACAGCACCACAACACATCCAGCCTGTTCAGTCAACTAATCATCTCATGAAATAGGTACCTCGTCAAGATCACCGGTAAGGAAGGTTTCCACATGCGTGTGCGTGTGCACCCCTTCCACGTCATCCGTATCAACAAGATGTTGTCCTGCGCCGGAGCCGATCGTCTCCAGACTGGTATGCGTGGTGCCTTCGGTAAGCCCCAGGGTACCGTTGCCCGTGTGAACATCGGCCAGATCATCCTGTCCGTCCGCACCCGTGACTCCAACCGCGCCGCCGCCATCGAGGCTCTGCGCCGTGCCATGTACAAGTTCCCCGGTCGCCAAAAGATCATCGTCTCCAAGAACTGGGGCTTCACCCCCGTCCGCCGTGAGGACTACATCCAGCTCCGCAACGAGGGCAAGCTCAAGCAGGACGGTGCCTACGTCCAGTTCCTGCGTGGCCACGGTCTGATCGAGGAGAACATGAAGCGCTTCCCTAGCGCCTACGAGAACCTGTCTCAGGCTTAGATGGTTTCCCAGTAGCGTTAGAGAAAAGAGATGAAAAAAGACAACCAATTTTCAGTTCCCCGTTTTCATGTTACCCCCCATCCTGGAAAGGATTTGATGTCATTTAAGTGGTGCTCTCACGTACGGCGGAGTTGATTAATCATGGAATTTCCTCGGCTTGTTTTCATCCTCGATCTGCTCGATTCGACTGTAGCGGTAGCGGTAGCGGAATGGACAACGACATTTATGATAGGTAGCATGCTGAATGTTTTATTACACCTATTTATATTAACGGTACGCAACGAGTAGTTACCTTATCCTGTTTATGTCAAACCCCTCAGTAGATACCTCATCGAAGTCCGCTACGATATGCAAAATGTAGAATGGATTATACAAGGTGCCATTATTCCAAGTAAATGAACCAGAAAAAATCCACATGACAGTATAGTGTCAACGTAAATAGACGCAATAATTCGCCGTCGTCTCGCCGCCCCTCCCGTTCTACCGTACACCGTCTTATAGTTATACCCCTAGGACCACCTCTGTCTGCGCCACGGAGCCAAATAAAGATGCGAAAATGAACAAGGACCCAAGCACCATACCAAGACGCGTTGAATGAAACATTATGATCAAAAGATTCAATGGACATGGGGGAGATCACCAAATATGACTGGGCGTATCCACGTGGGACGATGACTGTCTGGAAGCAGATCAGACATCGCCCCAGAGCCCGACGCCGGCTGCGACAGGAGGTGCGATGGCGCTCGCGCTGTCGATGCTTCCGCCAATGTCCCAGTAATTCCGGCTGGAACTGGTGAGTGTTCGCCGACTGGAGAGAGCAGAGAGCTTCGTCTGGCTTGCGCAGCTCGAACTGGGTCGGTGAAGCTGTTGACGGAGGAGCGGCGATGTAATGCCTGTAGGCCCGGACTGACGTCGGAGCTGGGCTTGAGAGCGGGAATGAGCTCGTGCAACGAGCGGATGGTGCTGGCGGATGATCGCCGCGCGTCGAGACGCATCCTGTGGGTAACGGCGTGAGGACGCATGGGTGCTGTCGGCGTTGCTACCCCGTCGACCAAAGCGGTTGCGAAGGTAGCGGAAAACCATCATAACATCAAGCTCGCGCTCCCAGTACTCCTTCTCTTGCTGGAGACGTTCAGACTCGGGGAGTGGTTCGCGGTTAGCGTCCTCTTCGTCCTCGATACCCCAGTGTGCGGCATGTTCTCTGCCGGCAGGATCGTACATCGTAGGCGAAAATTGAGGCGACATTATCGAGTCCTCACCGCTCATGACGATGTGAAGGGCAGGTTCGGCAGATGCACTCTGCGGTGCCGCGTCGTTTTCCTCTGCTAGACGACCAAGTGGTATGCCTGCATACTCGTTTGGTATCTCATTCGTGACGTTGAGATATGTAGTAAAGGCACCGGGGTGTTCGCAAAGATGGTGCACCAAGATGCCCAACTCGCGTGCGATCCGCTGAAGTAATTTGCTGTGCCAGAGACCTTGCTCATCCGGCATGGAGTCCAGCTCCCGAAGGGTCTCGCTCAGATTGAGAGCGTTGTCTGTTCCTGCAGATTCATTGTACTCCGACCCCATATCTGGCAACGACTCGCCGAAAATGACAGAAAGCAGAGAATCATCAATGCCAATCAGGTCCCGAATCACCTTGCGGGTGATACGTCGCCAGAAAGACTCGTCCTGCTCAGACTCCTGTTGCTGCTGCAACGGATCTTCCTTGGGTGTCTCCAGAACACCATCAGGCGTGTCTGAAACAATGGGTTGAGAAGCCACCTGGTCGGTCTGCACACTGACGCGGCTATTGCGTCGGCGCCGTCGTGTCTCCCTTTCAATCTCCTGCAAGAGCGCCCGGCTCTGGTCCATTCTCCACTTCTCGATACGTTGCCAGCGATCATGTTCCATATCAACCTGCTCCCGATCCTCTATCGAGTCCAGCTGACGCTGCACACTCGAGCGACGTCTGAGACGCACGTCACCCCGCCGGCGGGGATTGAACTGCTCATGCTGCCACAACTGCTCCTGCACGGGCTGACTGGATGCATGGAAACTCCCCAGCCCATCATGAGCTGGCAGTACTGCTGGCGTGGACTGGTTTAGCCGTGATGTAGACTCCTGCGTGACAGAGGGAGCTCGGAAAGCGTGCAGACCATCGTCGAGGCTGTCTAATTCCGTTCCATCCTCATCCAGGGGCTCTTCAACATCGCCGTTCGTATCATCAGCCTCGAAACCAAGTATGGAACGGGTCGCGGTGCCAAATGAGCCGAAATCACTTAAGCGGGATGCTCCGGTTGTGCGGGGAGTGCGTTCCGTGGAGTTCGTGTGAGTGCGGGCGGTGGATGTTTGGGGCGGGGAGAAGAGCACCCATTGCGCGGATTCGTTCTCGAAGAGTTGAGAGACGGGAGAAAGAATATCAAGCTCAGGAACTTGTTGAGTTGAGTGGGAATTGCGACGGCGGGTGACTTGAGGGGGTAGACGTAAGGCCATGAGTGATGAGTCCTAATCTCCGATCTACACAATAGATAAGATAGGGTGGATTCTCCCCGCGTGCAGTGCTGTAGATAGGCCGTGACCAAGTATGTGTCGGTAATCAGAATGGATAGTGGCGAGAGAGGAAACAGGGGAATAGAGGTATATATGAACGATGAAATTCAAGAGAAAGGAAAAGGGGGATGAAACAAGAAAAAGAAAACAAATCAATCGATAGATAGAGTGTCAGGTTTCCGGCCGGACTCGTAGTGATGGTGGAATGATGATGGGTGATGATCGCGGTGGAGGTGAGTAGATCAGCCGTCACTGGTGGGATTTCGATGCTGTGGATCCAAACCTGTTGGGGGTGTGGATTTGATCAAGAATAAAGATGTCAAATAGATAACCAGAGAAAAGAGATACTATATTGATACAACAAAGAAGAGCAGTTTATAATCCGATAATGATGGACAATGGAGAAGACAGAAACATCCTAATGACAACGCGACTGTTGGGGAGAACTGCGGAAATGATGCAAGGATGGGGAGGTCAAACACCACCGTCATGACAATAACAACAGGTAGCTCAAGTCACAAGACGCTGATAGCCAGAGTTTACTCCGTACCTGGTTTAATATATAGTGGGCCTAATAGTGTTTGTTTTCCCTTCAATATTGACTATTTACAGCGAGACTTTCTTTCAACTTATCACATTTACCAGCCTCAGGGGGGAAAATATATGTACAAGAGTCTCCAGTGCTGAACTCAACCATATCCATCCATCATCAGCTCAGCTGACAACATCTCTCCAGTACTTGCCAAATATTACACTGATATTCAACGGAGTACGAGGTAATCAATAATGTCATCCTCCTAAAGATAACGACACCACCACCGCCAATGATGTCGCTCTTGGACGATGTTAGTTCAACTTTCCAAGTCTTACTGCCTGATAACCGAATCGGACATGATGCCTGAGTACAGCACCATACAGCTGTCCTTTCGCGCGAGGAGCAGCGAATACTAAACTCCTGACCCTCAAAGAGGCTAAATGGCGATCATCCCATCCGTTGGCCGATCTCACTGACATGTCATCTATTCGTTGTGGACTCGTCACTAGCTAGTTCATCGCTGCGAGTCTGTGGCAACAGTGTATCAGCGATGTGTCAATGAGAGGGTCGAGAGTTTATCGATGCTGCAATGTGAGGGATGGCAATTTCGTACACTTGAGTTTATTACAGAATAGATACGGAGTACATTGTGTGTGGACTGTAATGCAGGTGGGTATATTCTATCGTCAGGTATATACATATCTTAAGGCCAAGATTCATCAGACAACATGATCACAGCGCTCCAGTCAACGCGTCCCCTACCCAATCCATCTGCACTGCACTAACCCCCCGTGCATAACTGCGATTTGTAAACACAAACTCATTGTACATGATAGCCTCCACTTTCTTGCCGAACAAGACGCTCGACGGGTGGATGGCCACCGTCTGATTCCCGACAACGGTCCGATAGCTGCCATCCGGGACGAGGCGGGCCGTGTTGGTGGAAAACCCGCGGAGGAAACTCTGGAGAATGAGCACAGGTGAGGGCTCGCGAGTGGCCGAGTTGTTAGAGCCGTTGCGAGAGTCGCTGGCGCTGGGAAGGAGCTTTGCTTGTCGGCATTGTGCCATGAGTTGTTTGCGGACATCCTGCGATAGTCAGGGTGGTTAGTCGAAGAGCGCGTTAGCCGGAGAGGAATAATGACAACGTACCATCACTGACTGCATGGCTCGATGAGAGACCATGTGTCGTTCGGCCCAGGCCTTTCGATCCGTATTCTCCGCTGCGTAGGCTTGCACAGTGGCCAGCATGGTGAGGTGATCGCCTTCTCTCCGATACAAGTCTCGGCGCGCTTTCTCAGCCTCTTCCTTCTTTTCTTCGGATGTTGTGTTCAGGAAGATGTTCTCCACACTGAGGCAGGAGATGATGTCAATCACATCTAAAAGACATCCTTCTCCATGTTCTGCTGCTGCTAAGAGGACACGTCCGAGGGTGGGCGTAAGAGGCAGCTTGGCGATGTGCAACCCAATCGAGCTGATTTTCCCGGATTCCTCCAGAGCATCGATGCTTAGCAGTTGAAGGAGCGCTTTCTCCAACGACTCGCGTGGAGGTCGCGTCAAAAACGGGAAGCCCATGACATCGTCAACACCGCGGGCTTTCATGTTGAGCAAAGCTTGGCTCAGATCGCATCTGAGAATCTCTGGTGTATTGGTCTCATCAAGCGCTAGATAGTCCTTTTCGGTGTAGAGTCTGTAACATTGTCCCGGTGCTTCTCTGCCGGCACGACCTTTTCGCTGAATGGCGGCGGATTTGGAGATGGGCTTGACCAAAAGAGAATCCAGCCCTAAGCGAGTACGGAATTGTTTGATCTTTGCTTTGCCACAGTCCACAACAAATCGGACACCGGAGACAGTCACGGAGGTTTCTGCAATGTTGGTTGCAAGGATGACTTTGCGGGTGCGAGGAGGCGCGGGAAGAAACACCCGTTGTTGAGCGACCTGAGGAAGAGCCGCAAATAAAGGAAGTACCTGGACCTTGGGTAACGCAGGGTCCATTCCAGTCGCATACTCGTTGACCAGATGCTCCAAAGCTTCGACCGTTTCCTGGCCTGTCAGGAAAACAAGGATATCCCCTGGCATCGGCTCCTTATAATGAATCTGAAAGATCACCTTCAGAGCTGCATCCACAAAATCATGCACAGGAGCCGGGGAGTAGATCGTTTTGACTGGAAACTGGCGACCTTTGATATGGCAAACAGAAACCTTGTCCTCGCCATTTGCTTGTGAAGAATCCTGCTGATCACTGTCCCCGTTTATTGCCTTAGTACCTCCTCGCGCCTGTAGACCCTCCTTGAAGAAATCCATCAGACTCTCCATATCAGCCGTGGCACTCATGACCACGACCTTCAGAGGCACACCACCTCGCCCTTCCTTTTCACCCGAAACCAAGTTACTCAAGAACCCCAGCACCAGATCAACATTAACACCACGTTCGTGCACTTCATCAACCACAATCGCACTGTACTTTGTCAACGAGGGGTCATGCAGCATCTCCTGAAGGAGCATTCCCTCCGTCAGGAACTTGATCCGCGTACTTGGCGACGTAGACGTATCAAACCGCACCGAGTAACCCACTTTACTCGCCGGCGACGACGACCCCAACGGCGTCCCCATTTCCTCAGCTACACGTCTCGCCAGCGAGATGGCAGCCACTCGTCTCGGCTGTGTAATGGCAATACACCCACCAACCGTGAGTTCCTTTTTAGACCCATCATCCTGAGTAACCGTCGCCTTGGTCGGACGGCACCATCGCTCATCGACCAAGAACTGAGGAATCTGTGTACTCTTTCCGCTACCCGTTTCACCGACAAGCAGCATCACGTCGTTCGCGCGCAGTTTCTGCCGGATCTCATCGCCATGAGGGAAAATGGGGAGGTTCTTGCGGGTTTCGTACAGCGCCTTGGCCTTTTCTCTCAGGGAAGTAAAATTATGCTTCGTTCCTTGGGGTGCTTGGTTCTTCGTCTTGTGCTTCTTGTTCTTGGGGTGGTCGGATGTGCCATTTGCGACGCCGTTGACCGCATCTTTCTCGTTGGTCTCGCGTGAGACTGGATCGGCCTGCGTTTCGTTTGACGAACGGGATTCTTCCAACCGTGTATCTGTAGGCCCCTCAACTTTTCGCTTCTTGCTTTTCTTCTTCTGGTGGTCTGTAGGCTGATCTTTTCGTTTGACTGGCTCGGAGCCTTGAATTTGTTCGGCCTCAGGAACCTTTTTAGGGACGGGGACGTCGTCCGCGTCGTCAAAAACGATACGTACCCTTTCGGGCATCGTGGAGCCTCGTATGCAACCGCTTTATCTGGCAAGGAAAAAGATTTTAATGATTAACCGAGTACCTCTCTATAGTGAACAAGCACAACAATCGCAGTCTAATGATTATCGAATCCCGTGCTTTGGTGATCGGTGGAGTCCCCGAAATTTTTCTGCGGGAGAGCCTTATCGATAAGCTCCTTGGCATCTATATGATTACCAGTTATTCGTTCGTTTGTTTGATCTACTCAGTACCAGGTACTCTATATTTTCTTTTATCACCCAAACAAAGGCGAGTCACCAGCAGACGCCTTTCTAAATATTTGCTGAAGATAATCCGTCCTATCTCCCTATATACTCCGTTTATGGTATCGATCAGATCTCGAATAAAGCCCCAAATTCTTCTATACCAAAGCCGAGCACAAAACCTGTACTATATATCTTCATGCAATCATAACAATCGACGAATATGTTCACATACCCCAACCGCGAACCCTGCGGAACACGAATGCTCGATCATTGCGAAGTCCAAACTCAGCCCAGTCGTCGGTCAGCTGGTTGTGACTCCAGAATCCCTTCCACACAAGCTTCGTGTTTTTCGATGTGTTGGCTGGTGTGGCTGTGGGGTTGGCAGGCTTCGACCCTCCAGAGGACGACCGGAGAGATAGATGCATTGTGTACATGTACTTTGAACCGACGCCTTCAGTTTCAATGACGACATCTCTGGGATCCAGGACAGGACTGTCCACTGTCTTGACTGGGAAGGGCGGGCAGTCGGAAACCGGCGGTATGTGGTTGTCGTCTACTGATTCAGAAGCGGCAAGGGGCTTGACGAGATGCCAACGTCCTCGACGAGCTTCCTTCAAAGCGGACATAGCGACTGGGGGTATCGGTTCTGCGGCTCCAGCTAATGTGATACCTGGCTCAGACGTATTACGTTGATGATGCCGATGCGAGGATGTTGCGCGTGCAGCTTTCATATTCTCCTTACTGATGTGAGGAACAACATCCAACGGCTCCGCAGTTGTCAGTATAGAAATGACTGAACCATCCGGGTAGAACCGTAAGTATCGATAATAGGTGACGATATGTATGGGACTGTCCCACGATATATTGTGGTATGAGGATGCGGCACCTGGGCGAGTATAATTGACGGTGCTTAGGTATACACCAGTGAAACGAATTCGGGGGAACATCTGGAAGACCTGACTCCACGAGGATAATGGCTTAGGAATCTGCACGGGTACTGAGAAGGGAAACGGCGTATAGCGTTGCCCCATAGTATACTCAGGATTGCCATGGATGTCACAAGCAAATGAGTAATGCATCGACCTAAAGCCAAACTCGGAACCCTGGCAAAGTCGTTTCCAGATGTGTTGTTCATGGGCGAAATGATATGCCAGGCGCTTGCAGACCAACGCCATCCGACAAAACGATGCAGGGTCCATCAACGCGACATGCCGAAGGATAACTAGTAGGACCTCGGATGGAATGTTCGCAATAGGGCATGGTGGCGGAGGTGTGCCTTCAATTTCGGGCTCAGCTCGAGGAATTGGCAGATGGGCGAAAGAGGCAATAAGCTCAGGAGTAGGTAGTACCACTGGTACATCTTGGGAATCTTGGCCACTCGCCGGAGCGCCAGTCGCTATTGAGGTTTTTGGGGCACCATGTGTGGATTTCTTCCAAGCAGCAGCAAAGTGCTTGTTACGGTATGTCCTGTCGACCGCAGAATCTAACTAGAGAACAAATAAACAAGTTAGTTACTCTCTTTATACTCCAAAATAATATCGGAACCCTTACCCGGTAGGCCCTGCGATAATGATGCAAGCTGTCCCCCAAATTGCCCTCCGCCTCTTTCTCTACCGCTCGTTCAAAGTGTTCCAAGGCGGATCTAGGTTCTCTTCGCGGTATCTGAGAGAGGAGAGCATCCTCATCTACCCTTCCTAAGCTCAACTGTTCGACACCATGGGCGATTTCACCCTGGTCGAACGCTGTTAGCCCTTCTCCGTCGTCTTCCTCCTCTTTACGTTCCAAGGCCGCATGTCGGGTAGGAGGGAAGTGGCCGGGCCGGCCGGCAGAAGATACAGACGATTTTCGTTGTGTAGTACTAGGCCTGTTATGATGTGTCCGGCGTGCAACTTCCTCACGCCACTGGCGTCGAAACGATTCAAGCTCGGCGTTGTCCTCCATTATGGTCATAGATATCAGAAGTCGTGATGAGCACCAACGGCGGAGTCACTTTGATTGATAAGCGGTAGTTCGCCGATAGCTCGATGCTTGGCTTTGAATCGGAGAATAGAGCAGTTTAGAATGCCGGCAAGAAGTCGTGCAAATGATACGTAGTCGTTAAAAAGACAGCAAAATAAAATCTCAGGCCATTCTTCCTGTACAAACGAGGGATCGATCGATCGATAAGATCAAGAATGTGAGCAGCATAGAAAGAGTAAAGAGAGGAAGAATCGCGGGGACCCGAGAATAATAATGCTTATCTCCGGGTCCAAACTTGATTTGGATGAAGCGCCACCGCCGGCAGCCGGGACGGGGACCTTCTTTTTCTCTCTGACGCATTGCTGATTTTCCTCCCCGCTACCGCCAGGTTCCCCGAGGGCTTGTTATTCATTATTACTTCGAGGACTCCAAGAACTGGACGTGAAAGCTACCTCAGTCTCCATCCAGGCCATAATCTCTTTACCTACCTTGCTTTGAATGAACGTCAGACGTGGCGACCGACGCAGCACCTAGTGGTGGACGTTCATTTCAAGAGACGAGTACCGCTGGATTAGGACAGAGCCCGGCAGAGTCATGGCCATGGGACCGTGAAGATACAACGATGGCGACTACTTCTGGGGCTGTAACAGGCCCTGCTCCAGTCACTGAGCGAAAGGATGGTGACATTTCAATCACGCAGCGCATGGTTTCGGCCACAGGCGGTAGCATCCTGACGGCTTTACTAGGTGAGTTACATTCGCTGCATAAATTTGGAGCAATTGAGATGCTGATTGATTCCGTGCAGCAACTCCTCTTGACGTCGTCCGTGTCCGACTTCAATCACAATCTTCCGTTCAAAATGCATCCCCCTACACATCTCACACAACTCAGACGCTAAAACACTTGCCACCGAATCTGGGAGTAACTGCTTGTTGCCGCGAAGTGTTCTGGTTCGGTCAGGATCCACAAGTGTGTATGGTAGGTCCAGGCGCCGGGACCATTGGAAACTCTGCGCCGTCCGTAGCGGACTGTGCAGTCGAAGAAACGCAGCGCAGGACGTTTACCTCCACTTTGGATGGCCTACGCAAGATCGCCCGGAATGAAGGAACTCTGGCACTTTGGCGTGGACTTAGTCCCACGTTGATGATGAGCATTCCTGCCAATGTCATCTACTTTGCTGGATACGATTGGTTACGTGCCGACGAAAAAAGTCCCATCAAACGATTCTTTCCCGCCGCCTACGCACCCTTAGTTGCCGGTTCTGTCGCGAGAATCGCCGCTGCGTCAGCTATCAGCCCGATTGAGATGTTTCGGACGCGTCTGCAGGCCACACCCGGTACGGGTGCAGGGCATTTCAAGGCGACGTTGGAGGATCTGCATCAAATGACCCAGGTGCATGGCTATAGGGCTCTCTGGCGCGGATTGACACTCACAATGTGGCGCGATGTTCCATTTTCCGGATTATACTGGTGGGGATACGAGGAATGCAAACGCTATCTTCTCGATCTGCGCAGGGAAGCCTACAACCATCATCTCCTGCCTCATGCTTCGTCCTCGGCTCTTCAACATGATCTAGATACCCCGACTTTTCTCGAAAGCTTTCTATCTGGCGCATTGTCAGGTTCTCTGGCGGCATTCGTTACCACTCCATTTGACGTTGGCAAAACGCGTCAGCAGGTGTTCCGACACATGGGTGATGGCGGTCCAAGCAGTTTGCGAGGCAGCGTAGCGCCTGAAACACTTCGACCTGAGCAGCTGTCTCTGCCTAAATTTCTTATGCACATCTTCCGTGAAGAAGGCATGGCAGGCCTTTTCCGCGGTTGGGTTGCGCGTTGCTTGAAGGTAGCGCCTGCTTGTGCTATCATGATTTCCACGTATGAACTTGGAAAGAAGATGGCACGGGGCGTTAACGAGAGACGACAGTTGGCCGATGAAGCTCATTCCGACTCCGTATAACAAATTTCGGGCGTGAAGTCACATATACGCTCTACCAGCTTCAAGCATTTGGTAGCCACCCTGCGCCGAGAGTAGCCCGCTACCCGTGACCATGGACGTTGAATGGCACTTGGAAATCATCTCCTCTGGCCTCACATTCCCACTCCATATCATTTTGCATCAATCTCTCCTTCCCATGTACCAGCATCATTGTATAACTATTTATCCAGCGAGCAATTGGGTTCGTTGATTGTTCATCTTTTGATTAATGTCTGATGATACCGCACCGCATGTCGCCTTATAGAGCATCTAACGTGTACTTTTGCTTCTAGCATCTTGGAAAAGGGTTTTATCTATCGTTCTTGCGAAATCATCGCAGTCCAAATGTGTACATACTATCGGGGAACCGGAGTACCTTTCTTCTCTGGATAACAATATGGCGAGACAAATCTTTCCTCCTCACTGAGCGAATTTGCCACTTCTATGAAGCTTACTTAGTGCTTTAGTAGCGTACTTTCAAGTCATCAATAGCGATCTGCTCGACGCGGAAGTATAACATTGCGAGATCACGAGGCCGCCAGGCGTGTCTTATCCTTCTCGGCCACCCGGCAGATGTACTCACCTTTTTACATTCCAGCAGATGAGTTTTCCATTACAGATCTTCATCTCTCATCTTTGTAAACAGTACTAGTGCATTAGATAGTCCTACTCACCAGTTCTTTTAGCCTACCGCGTCCGTGTGGGAAAGGTCACAATGGCACTACTGCATAAGCTCACCGATTCTCACCACACCATAGAAAGAACGAACAGGACTCCAGCCAGTCAAAGCTAGAAGTTCAATTTCGGCACAAACATAATACTTGACAACCATGACACAGGGAATTCGTCAGATAGTCGGAAGGCTCAGACGATCTGTGTTCTTGATGATTTGACCTCAGAGGTCCGAACGACACTAAAATGCGGGGCGTGATATTTGGGCAAGGTCTATGAGTATACCTACCAAGCCCCCGAGGTGATCGCTAATCTTCCGCTAGTGAAGTGTATATAGGCCCTGTTGACGAGGCTGGAGAGACAAGGCTGTCAGCGTGTAGGATGTCACCTGCCACAGCCTTCCACATGAGTCAGATGATGGTCGCTATTCTGTGTCTTTCTAGATGGTAGTCTCCTTGATGGATTTCATCTTGCGTCTGTTCTTTCAGATGGATATCGGTTAGAGCGCTGCTATTACTCGAGGGGGCTCCGAGTTATGGCGCAGAATATCTCCCAAGGCGACCCACGCGGTCGATTCACGGTTAGGAATTCTGTCCATTCTTCAGATGTCGAGTAAGCCCAAAATGCCGTTAAACTGACCTTTAGAACTTGAAGCACTGATCCCTTACAGCATCGTCGCTGTCCCTTCCATAGGATCTGACCCATGGAATACCTGGTTCGGTGATGGCTCTAACGAGCCATGGCTTATAACGGACCTCACGAGGGAGATACCAAATGCGCGGGTGCTACTATATGATCATGGAGAGCCCGGCGCTCGCGATGACTTGAATTCGCTGGCTCATAATCTGCTGAAGCAGCTCCATCAGCGGCGACTTAGCGCTGTAGGTCATGTTGTGCTTAAAGATTGAATCATGTACTGACTTCTTGCTCAGAAGAGTCGACGACCCATCTTCTTCATCTGCCATAGCACCGGCGGATTGGTAGCTAAGGCGGCCTTGGTCATCGCCAGCCAAGCGTCGTCGAATATGGAATCTATCCTGTCGAGCTGTCACGGAATAGCTTTCTTTGCGACTCCACATCAGGGATCGACCTACCTATACGCTCCAGAGTATACCCAAAGTATTTATAGCATAATGAGATTGAAGTATAGCATCCCGTATCATCTGCGGGGAATTTTGAAGCCTCGACATCAACAACTCATGCATCTTTCCAATCAGTTCAAGGCGATCTCGGCGGATTTGAAAGTCTGGACCTTCCTGGAGACGGTTGATTCCGCCATCAATATCGCAGACTCGGACACGAGCGCCACTATCGAAGTTCACGTACCCATCACCTCCATTCGATCTGGCCTACTAGGTCTGGAGCATGAGAAAGAAATACCTCTCGCTACCGATCATGTAGGAGCAGCATACTTCAAGGATCAAGAGAAAACTACAAGGATGAGCTTCATAAAGGAGCTTCAATCATCTGTCTCCATGGCAGTACGACTGTCTGGTCTTGTGGATGAGCCACTCCATGTCAAGAAGGAAGTCACGATTCAGGTCAATGGGTTCTTTGAAGATCCTGCACTTGGAGTCAGCGAGGAGACGCCTCTGAAGCTTTGGTCTACCAAAGTGACACTCCATGATTATCTGTCAAGGGGCCCATCCGAGTGCCTCAGAGATAGGCTAAGCAAGACCAGCAAGATGCCGCCTGGCTTTCTGGATGATTCGTCAGTGAGCAGCTTTGACAGCCGACGAGCGTCTATTCATTCAGAGTCAGGACCCGATGAACCAGTGAATGTCACGAGCGAGAAAACCGAACAAATCCAGCCCACTCCTTCTCTCAAAAAGAGTCGCAGTTTCATGCCCATGGCTTCCCCGAGAATTCATGTCAGCGAGCCCAGTACCGAAGGCTATCTTGAGTTAGGCGACGGGAACATCAGCTTCGAGCTGGATGAGCCGGTAGTACCGCAGGCAGACACCCCTCAGAAAGAAGATAGTGGCAGTGAAGCGGGAGAGGTTCCGAATAAGAGCTCCGATGCCAAAGCGAGCCAAACAAGATTACTGTGTGTGAGCGTTCTGCAACATATATGAAAACAGCTCGGCTAAGAAAAAGCACAGTAATATAACATCAAGATATAAAGAGCTCCTCCCTGTGCCGCTCCCGAAACGAGGTCAACGGAACATGATGGGAGCAGACAAGCCTCGAGCAGCACCTCGATTTGACCGACCAGAACCTGGAAGCGAGAAGCTTCTATGGATACACATTCCTTACACACATACTGGTTGGGTACCTTCCGTACTGGCTAAAGCCTGTGCGGATCGTCAAATCCCACATTTGTGAGTGCTTTTGCGGTTCCAACTTTTCTATTTATTGCCTTGGGCAGGCGCTAAGTATTCCGCCGAGGTTCAGTCTGAGCAGGTTCATAAATGAGGAAAATTGGTTTTCAAAGCTGATCAGAGCCCGTCACCTTGAACCTCACGCTCGTTATGTACGCCCTTCGTGCATCCATTCCCGGCAGAATGATGCCTCGCCCAGCAATCCATCGAGAGTCATGGAGGACCCTCAGCTCGCTCTATATGTGAGTTTAGGCTATAATCGATCAAGATAATTGCTAACCATTCATATCTGGCAGATGCCATATGTAAGCCTGTACGCGCGCTTTTATTGACACATGCTGAAAAGCAGCCAGCTTCATTGGGATACGTACTGGAATCTCATACAACGCCGGAAAGTTGTGCAAGACCGACTGCGGCAAGGAAGATCCAGACCCGTACCGGACAAAATATCCAAGGCGCATTTGGAAGCGAAGTTGATTTGGAAGTTCCTCGGAAGGGAACCTCCAATTCACCTCAGGAGAACGTTGGACCAGTTTGGATACCCCAACCTGAGATCTACTACTGCCCGAGATGACGATCAAATGCTCTGGAAAAGGACGAGGAAATCAATCAATCTCAAGGATGAGATAGGGGATTCAGTGAGATTGGAAAGTGATTCAAGCGTTCCGGACGTTTTTGAGGATGGCAAAGTTCTCATGGTAGACCAGCTATGGCTTTGGATATTGGACCAGAGAACGGTCGTGACCTTTTTCCCCAACCAAGAGGCTACAACATCCGAGGCTAGGCTCTATAAACAAGCAAACTTACACAACAGTATCTATAATGAACTCAATGGAGATCTGGCACGGCGTTTCGAGACTGCTGGTGATCTTGCTGCGCTCATAGTACAACATGCTGTCACTGTTCTACTTGACAGGACATTGCACCACGATTTACAAGTCCTCCGAATTTTTGAAGAGTCCATCAGCATCTTGGTAAGGATTACATAGCATGCACGTCTCGACAGCTGACTGACCAAGAATCAGACAGAATCAGTGACCAAGTCATTTAAGCGGTTCCGAAGTCGCGGATTTACCATTAACTTTGCTCAACACAACAAAACGGCTGATGGAAGAACAATGACTGAGGCAGAGCGTGATGAAAGAGATATCCGTGTAGCAAGACAGAACCGAGAAGACCTGTCTGCGCTACTGGAACTGAGGGATATTATGGATGAGCTAGGAACGATAATGAAGGTTCTCGAACAGCAAACCACAACAGTCAAGACCATGGCTAGATACTTCGCAGACAGGGGATATGGCAAGGTCTTTGTCGAAGCCTCGCTGGCCAGGCTGGACGAATATCGCAATCAAGTCCAGGAAATGAGGGAGAACACCATCCTAGCCCAGAAAGCCGTAAGCACATCCGACGTCCATCATGACGCCGTTCGCTGACTTTCGGACACAGGTAGAGAATCTTCTCGACTTGAAGCAGAAGCAAGCCAACGTCGATGAATCTCGACTGGCTCGGTGGGAGGCAGAAGTAACCCAGACGCAGTCACGGTCCGTGATGGTTTTTACAATCTTCACTGTCATGTAAGTCGCATCTGCTCTCCACAGGTCACGTCTTACACAATTGCTCATCCGGCACAGATTCTTACCTCTCTCCTTTTTCACCTCGTTATTCGGCATCAATGTCCGAGAATGGAGCGGCACAGAGACAAACCCCGATTTCCGTCAAATGTTTCTGATTGCAGGTAAGGACCCTGGTTCATCTCTTCTCAAGCTACGTTGATTAGATACCTCTAACGCCATGCTCTAGGCCCGTCATCAGTCGCAATCATCGTTATCGCTCTACTCTTAGCCTTCAACGAAACCCTCCGGGAGACTGTTGCCAAGGCACACGCAATTCTCTTCGGAATGGCTCAAGACTTCCTCCTAGCTCCCGCTAAGAAGGTTCTTCATCTGTCCAGATCTTCAGAAGAGCCCTTGGACGTGCATCATGAAAAGAACCGCTTTGATCGCTATCTGTCCTCCCGGCGGTATCGCAGGCAATTGGAGGACGATATCTGGAAACAGCATCCTGATTGGATGATTTCGCCGCTGCCACCTGTGGCAGAGTATGAGATGATGCCGCCGGGATACGATTACTCAACGAAGTTGAGAGAGTCGAGTCGGCAGGGAATCTCGGCTTAGAAATGCTTGCATGCGCCTATGGCTGCATGGTAGCGTCTTCTTGATCATTACTGTATGACAGGGCCGTCGAGAACCGAGTAGCAAACCTACGTGAAGATTACAGAAACTGAAGAGAGGATGCCGTGAACAATTAATTATATTAATTGAGGCACGACCACCACAGCTCCAAAGCTGTCGTAGACTACATAAAGTACATATATGATACACAGGACTCCCTAAGACTTTTCATGCCCAATGGGATGGAGTGGAGATGTTGATCGAGTCAATCAAAGGGGAGGCGGATCGAAGAGGTAGATATGAGTATCGAGGTATAGGACGAAGTGGGAGTAGGTGAAGGGGCTGTCAAGGCGTGTAACACATCAGAAACAAAGGAAATATTACAGAAAATTCTCAACACCGATATATCAGAAAATGCTCGTACATGCAAAGACACGCTCGAAGGGAAGAGAAACCTTTAAATCATGGAAGAGGCTAGGCTAGCGAAGGGGACTGGGAGCAGCTTAGAACATGCCGCCACCCATGCCGCCCATACCGCCCATACCACCCATGCCGCCGGGAGCAGCAGGGCCCTTCTCTTCAGGGGCCTCAACGATAGCGACCTCGGTGGTACCGAGCAGGGAGGCGACACCGCTGGCGTCGAGCAGAGCGGTGCGAACAACCTTGAGGGGATCAAGGATACCGCTGGAGATCATGTCGACGTACTCGCCCTTGGAGCTGTCGAAACCGCGGTTGAAGTCCTTGGCGAATTCGTCGGTCAGCTTGCCGACAATGACGCTGCCCTCGAGGCCGGCGTTCTCAACAATGGTGCGAGCGGGGCGGGTGATGGCGTTCTTGATGATGCTGACACCGAGCTGCTGGTCGAAGTTCTCGGGCTTGACGTTGTCAAGGCCGTTGGCGGCGGCCTTGAGGAGGGCGGTACCACCACCGGGAAGGATACCCTCCTCAACAGCGGCGCGGGTAGCGTTGAGAGCATCGACAACACGGTCCTTCTTCTCACCGACCTCAACCTCGGAGGCACCACCGACCTTGATGACGGCAACACCGCCAGAGAGCTTAGCCAGACGCTCCTGGAGCTTCTCCTTCTCGTATTCGGAGGTGCTGGGGTCCGCCATGACACCACGGATCTGCTCGCAGCGCTGGGCAATGGCGTCCTTGCTGCCCTCACCGTTCAGGATGATGGTATCCTCCTTGGTGATGGTGATGGCGCCGGTGGAACCAAGCATGTCGGGAGTGAGCTTCTCCAGCTTGATGTCGAGCTCATCAGTGAAGACGGTACCGTTGGTAAGGACGGCAAGATCGCCAAGGATGCTCTTGCGGTTGTCACCGAATCCGGGAGCCTTGACGGCGGCGACCTGCAGCTGACCACGGAGCTTGTTCAGAATGCAGACGGCGAGAGCCTCACCCTCAATGTCCTCGGCGATGATGACCAGGGGGCGGCGGAGGGTGGTGGAGGCCTCAAGGGCGGGGATGATGTCCTGAACGGCGGAGATCTTCTTCTCAGACAGCAGAATCAGGGGCTTCTCGAACTCAACCTTCTGAGACTTGGCATCGGTGATGAAGTAGGGGGAGGTGTATCCACGGTCGAAACGCATACCCTCAGTGACCTCGAGCTCATCCTCAATGGTCTTGCCCTCCTTGACAGTGATGACACCCTCCTTGCCGACACGCTCCATGGCGGTGGAGATCAGCTTACCAATGTGGGTGTCACCGTTGGCGGAGATGGTAGCAACTTGAGCGATCTCCTCACCGGTGGTGATGTCACGCTTGTTCTTCTGGAGGTAGTCGACGACAGCATCAACAGCAGCCTGGATACCGCGGCGCAGATCCATGGGGTTGCAGCCAGCAGCAACGTTCTTCACGGTCTCAGAGAAGATGGCACGGGCAAGGACTGTAGCGGTGGTGGTACCGTCACCAGCAATCTCGTTGGTCTTAGAAGCGACATCCTGGAGGAGGCGAGCACCGAGGTTCTCGAACTTGTCTTGGAGAGTGATGGCCTTAGCAACAGAGACACCATCTATTTCAGTCAGTACACAATTCGTTTCAATGGCAAGTGGAAACAGCGACTGGGGCTAGCTCGAGTCAGACATACCCTTGGTGATCTTAGGAGAGCCGTAGGGAGACTCGATAAGGACGTTACGACCCTTAGGACCAAGAGTCGAAGTCACGGCCTTGGCCAGAGTGTCAACACCCTTGAGGAGCTGAGCACGGGCTTCGACACCGAACTTGAGTTCCTGAAACGCTGTTAGCAAGGTGTCGGGGGTAAGCTCCGGGTGACACGGAAGAGAAATTGGCACCGTTTCAGGAGTTTAGAATTGCGGATCGCAGATGAAAACATACCTTGTGGGCAAAACGCTGCTGCTGCAGGTTAAGGCCAGCGGGCTTGGTGAAAGCAGCCCGCTTGGAGGCAGCGGAAAGGACAGACGTCCTGGAAGAAAGAGCTCTCTGCATTATGGGAAGAAGGGTGATAGAAGGACGGGATAGAAGAGAAGATAATAAACGTTAAGATGAACGACTACTGCCCGATCGAACCTCCCAGAGCAAGAACAGGTACAGAGAAGGAAGAGAAGAGGGAGAACAGAAGATAAGGAGGATGGAATGGAGATGAAAGCTGGGGAGATGAAGCCAAAGTCTCGAAATTTTTCCAGGCGGTTCTCGATCCCCGGATGTCTTGGCGGCAGAAGCTCCTAGAAGGTCACGTGTGGCCTTCCCGAGGGATGTTCTCGGATCGTCGGAAGGGGAAATTCGTACACAGATGCCGATGGGCAACAGTATCTGAGAGTCATTCGCATATGTAGAGCTGAATGGGCCAACACATGTATCTTTTTAAAGCAAAAGATACAGGTATGATTAATGATTGTCGCTGAACAGTCAGATCTACTTCTGTCCCAGCCGAAGTTCCCACGATAGATTATCATGTAGTCTCTCTGCTCCGTATGATTGCGAATGTGTATACACCTTTTTCTTCCTCGAAGGTACAGCAAGACTTATCATATTTGGTAGAAATTGAGGTGATATGTTCAGTAAGGCTAGAAGATACCCAATCTCCTGTTCCAGGCTATGAAATAGTTGAAAACCGAGAGCTGATTGATAGAAGCAATTGCAACAAAACGAAAAGCTAAAGCGCGGCAAAGCAACGAAAATACGCAAGAAGAAAGAACAGAATCTAGTCGGGTATGATGCAGAATAAGCAGGTGCTCGCAAGGTCATTCCAAAGAGCGAAGATGATGAAAAAGCCAGAGAAATTCCTGAACCACGATTCCCGGCGTTGCCCCATTATGATGCATCCTAAATGAGGCTGACGATGCGGAAAGCTCAGTCGGTAAGAGAAAGATTCCAACGATATGCTAAATCATAGCGAGGCCACATAAGTATTGAGCTTGGGTATCCAAGGTCTTTGAAAGCTGACAGTGAGCCATATGATTCTGTCAGGAGGAATCAGAAAAAGGGATTCATTTCCCCCGAACTTGCAAAGTTGGTCCCGTTATTGTCTTTATGCCCATCATTAGCATGTATGTACTGAAAAAGGTCGTCAAAATACATGCTTTGCTCCCCTGGAGCAATGCCAATTTGCTCACTCTGATGGGGATTCAGATGATTCAATGGGTTCGGAACAAAGCCGAGCTGCTCGTTCTGTGAACTGGGATAAAAGTTCTGATAAGCATTCATATGCAGCCCCTGGCTAGACGCAAAATCCAGAAAATTGGAGTTTGGATTTGTGATGGACGACATGCCCATGTTTGATTGATCTGCGGACGAATAATTCCCACCCATGCTCTTAGTATCTACCGCACCCATGGAATTTGAATTGTCTGTGCCATGAAGATCCTGATACAATTGCTGGTCAAGTAGACTCTGATTGTGAGGATCGAAAGCGCTGACCGTAGTATGTTCTGGACTCTCGACTTTGACAAGCTTTTCGCACTTAGGCTGCGTTCCACGCCTGTATCTCAGGACAACCACCTTGCTCCGCTTTCGAAGACGAGAGCGGGAACGATTCCGAGCACCCCTATGATTGGGATACTCAAGAAACTGGGCACCAGAAACCACCAAGTCTTCGGAGCCAATCGGACTGCCATCAGCGTCCTGGTCACTTGCGGACTGAGGCTGAACTTTGTGGTCTTCCTTGCTGTGGACTCTCGAGCTTTTGCTGTGTGCAGCGTCTCTCTGAGCCTTTGAGTGCCGTCTAACAACGTACTCTTCGTCAGATTCAATAACGGTATCTTGTGCAAGATCAGATGGCTCTGCCGCGCTGTCGGACTCCCGTTCGTTGCGCATCCTGCGCCGAGCACGTCCTCTGGAGTATGTTGTGGATGCGTTTGAGGCTTTGTTTGGAGCCCCAATGCCGCCCCGTCGAAGTGGTGGGGGGACGACTTTACCACCATCGACCCGGCGACTGCGGAGTTTGGATAGGTGCTGGACTATTGCTCCTTCTGTGACGTTGTGGCCCATCGTGGACGCAACATCTGCCCATGGAATCTTCACATTTTTTGTGTTACAGACAGACTGTATTGTCAGGAGGAGCAGCTCGTCTAAATCGGCTACCAAATAAGTCAGATCGATTTCCACTGAGTGAACATGCCTGCGACAGGAAGGGATGACTTACAATCCCAACGAACCAGAATCCGCTTCTTAGGCCTAATCAACTGCTTCTTAAGCGTGCCCATGTTTATATGCGTGCCTCTGCCTTTTAGTGACCTTTGATATCTGCTGATGTCCGATGAGTGGCCAAGATCGCGAGGGAGGCTTTGACACAGGGAGCACTGTACAGCGGCACTGGCAAGAAAGTGAGAGAAAGATGAGAGATGGCGAGACCCGAAACACTACCTGGAGGCCAAATGCAGCACCAGAGTGAAAGGATTTTAGGATGTCGACATACGTACTATCTGGTTTGCGTTTCTTCCTCAAGTTGGCATTGCCTAAGCCTCCTGGAGTTGCAAAGTAGATATCTCCAACAACCTCTGTAAGTCAGAAGAGGAAGATGATTTGGCAAGAGGTGATGAGAGAGATGAGGGACAGAGGTGAGTGAATAATGAAGGGTGAAACCAAGGGCAGACCATAGCTTGTTGTTCTTGGGTGTATTATGATGCGTACTAGTCTGTCTAATACGGCCATATTCTGCATCTCATGCACAGAAGAAGCTTCAATCTCTTGCATCTCGGCGTATCATGCGTAAATGAAGCTTTTATTCTTTGTTTAGTAAGTGAATATGTTATATAAATGCATATGGAAGATCTCTCCTTGTTAAGAGCAGTACGTTAAGAGCAGTTCTATATGGCACATTTCTGGGCGGACTGGGCATGGAATATAGGCCAGGCACGCTTTCTTCGGAGCCTGGGTCAAGAACGGAGAAAACGGGCAGGTCTTCTTAAATCTGAGTATATTCTGGCAGGACTGAAGGAAACTTTGGGTTCAATATTAAGGGTCGCCTAGTACTTAGCTGGCTTGTTGATATAACTTCTCATTGATACTTTGTGCGGTTCAAGAACCAGGTCCTAGGGCACACCCAAGGAGAAACAGCGTGTTATACAGTTGGTTTGTATGCCGATAAAGAAAAAACTCTTCCTTCAATGTTCTATCCCTTTGCATTATATGCTTGGACGTTTGAAGCATCATGAACCTGTCGAGTTCGGGTGTCAGTAGCGGCTCAAATCCATAGCTGGCTAGCCGATCACTGTCACTGAGTTCTTTCGGACTCGTGGAACAGCAAATTAGCAGCAGCAGAATTGTTCTTAGCCCAAGCCAGACATCTTGAATTCAATTTTGTCGGTGTATCCCCCTTTTGGTCGTTGAATGGCCGACGAAGGTGCTGTCCGATCACGTGAATCACATGACCTGAAGTTCCCGATCCTCCGAACTCTACGCTCATTCAAGCGTCACATACCCGACGACTTCTGATTCTCCATTCGAAACACAATCCCTCCAACTTCATCCGTCTTCAAAATGGCAGCTGCGTGGAAAGCCGCTGGTTTGACGTATGCACAACCCATCCTACCGACGATGCCGCTGAACAATGCGCGACCGATCCGGTACTGACTTTTTATAGCTACAACCGCTACCTGGCCGTCGCTGCCCGCGCCGTCCGCAGATCTCTCAAGGACGGTCCTCGTCTCGCTGCAGAGCGCCGTGGACAGTCAGAACTGCGTTTTGCCAAGTGGGAGGTTCGTATACACGTCATTGTTGTGCTGGATTGTGGTGGTGATGAGTACAATGCCTGGCTGAACTCGGCTAACGGATTTCTCGCTTGAATACAGAACGGCAAGCAGGGCGACGTCAAGAGTATCGCCGAAACCAACCAGCAGGCTGCTCAGGAGTCGAAGTAGACCATTCTCTCCGAAGACGAATCGATACGATGATATAGGGAGCGAATTGGGCTATCAAAGGCCTAGGGGAAGCTTTACCCGAGGGGAGGAACAATCACTGTAGCAATATTGGCCTGTTCGTTGAAATCAATAGAAGGAACACTTTCTTCCTGCCATTATCAGTGTTAAAATGTAGAGTCTACCTGGGTGTAGTGTAAGAGTTCTGTAAGCAGACGTTCACCCTCCGCCGGCATCAAGTCTCTGCGGCCTTTTGCATCCTTGTGGGTTTCATTTCCGCGAGTCGCATACGTACTGTCCGCCAACTCCCCGCTCCCTCCTCCGCCGTCTTGTCCCTCATTTGAGCCATCGCCCCCAAAGCCAATTTCTTATAGATGTTCAACCTCGCAGCGGGCTGCAGATGGTCGTGGATGAATATTAATGCTGCCAAGTAACGAAGTCCGCGTCCCGACGATGCGAGTCGTCTCGCAGTCGGTGGTCCCACGCGACATCACAGATGTATTCACACAAGCTGCTTCGAGTAAGAAGCCTTTTTCCTTCGCTGTCTTCCTTTCATTCTGATTGACCTGCTGTCTGGTGCATCGCACAGCTTTACTGACTGTTCGTCTTTTTGCTAGAGCTGCGAACAGGAGAACTCGTCAAAGATGAGTACTTCACACTGTTCGAGGCAGTCGGCGCCTTGGAGGTGGGTTGCAATCCTTTCAGTCTCGCTGCTAGACGATACTCGATCGTGGAACTTTTTCGTCGGCTGACAGGTCTTGATTCCCGGCAGATAATGGATTCAAAGATGGACAGTGGGTACCTCGGGCCTGGAGAGAATCACGCGCACGCCTTGGAGGACGACTACGACATCATGCGGGAGCTGGCTCCGGAAGAAGTAGTGGGAATATTGGACGAGTTGCTTTGCCATGAGGTGAGTGGGTTCCTCCGCAAAGCCGGCGGCTATCACCATTTGACTAAACGGTCTTTATCATGGCAGATGGCGTGGCATATGGGACATCCACTATCACAGACCCTTTTTACGTCCTTGTACCTCGATAAACTGTTATGGCCGGTACCGAAGACTTTCGAAGATGCTCGGTTTGCGCGTGAAAGGTTGGGTAACAAGAAGGAGGACTCAAAACTGTTACATCTCGTACTCCGCGCTTACTGCCTTGCGCTGGTTAAGTGCTGTGATTTTGTCCACTCGCGAGTTTCGGCGGAGTTTTACTACGAAGTTGGTTCTTGAAGTTTACCAGGCACTCTAAACATTTTCTGATTCTCTGCAGGAAGAGGACTTTGTCACTCAGCTGTACAATCGCAGCTTACTGTCACAGTTTGATGTGACAAACTTTCGAAACCTCCTCGATGAGGCGGTCTCCTGGACTGAAGGAACAGCCGATGCTCTCCATCAAAACTTGCGCGATGCAATCACATCCCGGCTGATCTTTCGACGCGAGTTCCTCCTCGCATTGGCCCATGACGCTGATATCTTGCAGAACAAGTCAACCGGCTACTTTGCGTCTTGCTTATCCCAGTTGTCCTCGCTTACCAAATCTGTCTCTCTCGGAAAGCCTGTGTCCGATGCCTTCAGTGTGAAGATTCAGCGGAGACTGGCCAGCACGGTGCCGCCTCGGCCCATGGTGAAGGTTAGTTTCGAGGATGCGCTGGCGCATCTGCGACGGTTGTGCCGAGATGCAATTGACCTACAGGAACTCGTTGAGTATGGTGGCCCATACAATTTCAAGGTATTCCGGGCCTTTCCCATATTAAAGATGAATCTGAATGTATCTTCTAACGAATTCAGGTCGCCGTTTGGACACTGCTTTCTCGAAAACCTCAACCATCCGTTTATATCCGTTCGCTTACCCAAACTTTCATCCTGAGCAACATGACTGTCCTTGGCAAAGTCTCGCTTAAAGGACTTCTGTACGACGAATTGTCCGAATTTGTCCTCTCTTCGAGCGTGCTTCTTGATGCCAACATTGACGATACTGAGGTGCCCTCGGACCCTCGGTTCCAGATTGCCCAGCGGATGGACGCTTTTGTTAAACGTTTCGCTCAGGTGAGGTCCTGCCGCTTCTTTCGCGTAGTCGGCATTTTCTGACCATTATATAGCCCTTCGTAGACACTTTTCGAAGTGCGTGCCTCAACCGATGCCGCATTCGTCGGACACTCTGCCATACAATTATTGATTGGGATAACCTTCAGATGGAGGTGTGCAAACCGAGTTGACAATGCTCAGTTCAGACCAATACTGACCTTTGTGCAGGCCGAAGAACTCGACGAGCAACTTCGTACTCTCAGCGAAGAATCTCCGCTTACACTATCGAACGGTGACGCCACTTACTCTTACCCCCTAAGCAGCTGGGCATACCACCAGAAGCTGAGCCAATTCCGCCTTATCATTCAGCTTGGTTTCGAACTATCAATCTATGCACCCGAAGAACTTGCTGGGATGTACTGGTATCTTTCTCACATTTGCTCCACGCACCTTGCTCACATCGACCGAATACGGACATTTACGGTCGCTGCCGCCAAACGAAATCTGGCCGCTATGGCTGCAATGAAGAGCAACTCAGCCGAGCGGCAGTCCGCTTTTCATAAGACCCTTCGACTCCTCGAGAGACTCACCACACATATCGTTGCTATAGACGCCTTTGCGATATCCCTGCATGCTCTGTATGTACTTCTCGCTCGGCACAATCTTCTGCCGACAGCCTCTGCTCCAGGAGCGTACTCCAGCGAGCGGCTGCGCTACGAAATTCGAATGAAGCCTTTCATCCCTATCAGCCTGCCGGAACTTGTGCCGTACGAAGAGTATCGCCGGGAGGCGATTCTAGAAGGGGATAGCGATGAAGTCGTCTTAGAACGTGCCTCAAAGGCGATATCAGAAGCCCGCAAGGCCTGGGAAGCCACACTCGCCAATGGTACTTTCATTAAGGATTCTCGGGGCGAAACATACCAAGCGCCGGCCATCGAAGAAGACTGGAAGTCCGAGATTAAGGACACGATGCGGGCCTGCATAGGCGCAAGCATCGCTATCGAAGCGGTGAAGAAGGGGCTCGCCGACTCTGGAGGAACCAGCTCTCAAGCAGACGGTCATCGCGTCAGGCTACGAGTGGAGGTCCCAGAGGTTGGGTCGAAGGCACGCTGGCATGACTGGTGGGCTGTGCCGCTGGTTACACCAGTCAAGCCAGGAATTAAAACGTGATATGAGGCAATCCGGACGCAATTCGCTCTTCTTTCCTTCCGACAAAGGGTGGGAGCCTGATCTATAAATTTCACGAGGATTTTAGACGAGGAATTGAGGTTGTCTTATGATTTAATGTATATAGAATTGGATTTGTTATGGTTGAATGTTAATGCCATAGACAAATGCTGCATAGATTTTAATATGAATCAAAAGTTCAGAAGAAAAATCAGTTGCTTAACGTTTACCTATAACTATTGTGCTTTGGATCGATACCTTAAAAGAGTGAAGTGCTGATAGTTGACTAGGGATTGTCTAGGCCAATCCACAAGCAGACATCCCACTTCGTCCAAAACGACATCGTTCAAGGAAAACACTTCCGTAATAACCTTCCACCTTTGCTGACACTGAATCAACAATAATTTGAAATAGCCTGAAATTCAGTACCACGCGAGACTGCCATCAAGATCGACACAGCCGCATCTTCCAGAGTTCCAAGTGTATGGTCACCTTATCCTTGGCTCCACTGCCCATTGGGACGGCCCAAAGGATTCAATCTATCCAAACCGGAGCAAGATCGCCCCAGGGCCTCGGAGGAGGCATGATCGACCCTTTTCCTTCTGCGATCTGGAAACTCTCTCATCATCGAGTCCCGACAGGTACCATACTATAATTCTATCTACGTACCTGACCTATGAGAGTGGTCGTTTCTTATCCTGCAGAAGATCTATCGGTGTCCGTCGAGGCGAACCTCATCCGCCTTTCAACTCGACTCCGTTCCTGCGGTCGCAAGCTAACCATCTCACCGATCTCTTTGGTGTAGCCAATTGCATACTTGTGAATCGCTATCAGTTTCGGCTTCCTTTGGTTTTATCGCTCTGATTTCTACTTTCCTTGTCGCAGAACCAAATTTGATCAATCACGAGGATTCCTAATATTAATTAGAATAGTCCTATGCAAACTCCGCGTGGTCTATCTTGTCACACAGACAATCTTCCGCTTCTCCTCTCCTCTTTTCCTCCCTCGCGTCCATCCTTCTCCCATCTGCCCGAGGCAGGGCGGTAGGGACGAGAGCCTGGACAGACCGCACTCCGGGACGCACACAATGCCTACATATCCTATCCGGCGCAGGCCCCGCGAGTGCAAGACTTGCCTACCCTGTCGTGCGAGTAAGGTCCGTTGCGATCGCAATGTACCATGCGGCAATTGCGTCAAGCGCAACTTCAACTGCTCCTACGGCCGTCCGCCTCCCAAGGACCCATATCCGCTATCTACACCAACAGCCACGACTGCGACGACGACTCTGCCTAAAACTCCGTACTCCTCCTCTCTACCGCCGTACACTCCGGCTTACCAAACCACGAATATCTCGGGTCGCGATGCTTCCTTTGAAACGGGGACAGGCACCGATTCCACTCCCGATCAGGAGCCATTGTCGGATACCGTGATGATCACACAGGGAGAATGGGATGAGATTAACGCCAAAATGCGCGCAATGGAACAGATCCTGGGCAGTTTGCACTCATTGTTCGATACACACGCGCGGAGGAAACCCGATAATCCCGCCACGGACGTCTCCCCCGAAGGAGAAGGCTCCCCGCGGTCTGAAGGCATCTATGAGCCCGACGTGCTCCGAACGGGCTCCGTCCATATAGGGTCGAGGTCGGCACTCGTTGACATTTTGAACAAGTCGAAGGTTTCCGAGGACACTGCGCAGGCGCTGCCCAAGGATGACCTTCTTGCGGAGCTGGCGATGGGAAACGAGTCGGCCGCGTATCCTTTCGTCGACCTATGGTCGTCGGATCCGTATACATTCAACATCGCCGGCGTTTGTGGAGTATTACCCGATGATGAGCAATGTCGAAGGTATGGGAATTGGTTTCGGTGGTCGATTATTTCGCCTTGCTAATCGAGGTTTTCTCCGCAGATTTATGGGGTTTTATAGAGATATCGCAGCTGTACTGTATCCGGTGCTTCCAGATGTCGCCAGGTTAGAACAAGATATGAATCGGCTTTTGCGAGGCCGCAAGGCAGCCGGAGGGGTGTACCGTCCAGATACCAATGGCTTGGTCAAACCATTCGGGATGAGCCTGGCGTTTCTGAGTCTGCTCTTCGCCGTTCTAGCCTCCGGATGTCAACTGTCCGATTTGCCAACTAAAGAGCGGCAGTTGACCTCCTGGGTTTATGGTGCGTAATCTTCCATCCATCATCGAGTGACAGTCCATGGCTGACCGTCTTCCAGTTTCCTGCGCCTATCAGTGTTTGCGAATGTTGAACTATGTGTCGCAACCAACGCTTGAAGTGATCCAAGTTCTGTTGATCATAAGTCACGTCTTGTCCTATAACATGAACGCGGGCGCGTCATACACGTTGCTAGGTGAGCGATCTTCTTGCTTGGCAGCTTCCATGACTCCACACTCAACGACATACTCACAGGGATGACGGAGCGCATGTGTATGGTCCTCGGTCTTCATGTCGAATCATCAGGCTTTGCGCGTGATGTTCAAGCGGCTCGCAGGAGGGTGTGGTAAGTGTGATCCCGGTTGCCGTTTTGAACACGAGTGGCACCATTCTCATGATGCTCAACAGGTGGGCAATGGCTTTTCAGAACAGTCATTTCTCCTTGGCATACGATCGGCCATCAATCACGATGGTTAGTCAGCCGGAAATTCCATATGATCCCAAATCGATGCCCGGTCATCGATCGTATTTCGAGACGCTTTGCCGGCTAGTTTCTGTCATTCTGGAAATGCTGCGCATGCGAATGTATCCACATCATTCTCAACTGCGATATCACGAGATTAGAGAGTATAAGCAGCGATTCGGACGAATCATTGCCGAAGGCGTCCCGCATTTACGCTCTCCCGACCATTGCGCCACTCTGGCGGATCATATCGAGCGGACAGAGTTACGTCTGCACTCGTCGTACTATCTCTCCGTTATTTGTCGCGTTTCATTAGACCCGGATGCACATCTGGACGACGAGCGGCGGGCGATAATCCGCGAGGATTGCCTGACGAGTCTGATGAACACGATTGATGCATTTGTCGAGCTGCATTCGTTCAACCCGCACTGTTCCCGGACTTGGATCAGCCTGCAGCGCACAATCGCATCTGCCTTTCTGCTGGTTGCACATCTCGAGGACCGATATCGCGCTCGAACGTATGACCTCATTCGGAGGCTTGAAATTGTCCTGGCGGATCATGTATACGCCGGAGGACAAGAGAAGCAGAACAGCCAGACGGAGTCTGCAAAACATCTTGCCTCGTCACTCCGTGCCCTCCGGCAAATCGGCGCTGCATTGCGTGCTAAGGAACCCGAGGGATTGGGATCGGGCTCCGAAACCACCAACACGGTTTCCAGCATCACCACCCCAATGCCGATCCCTGTGTCCTCACCGTCGGTCACTCTCAGCACCACAGCAGCTCAGTTCTCCGGATACATTCCTGCGCCGCAGGGGAAGAACATGCGTACCATCCTCGACAGCGTGTCCGACGTGATGTTATTTCCCAGTATGGGCATGGCAAATTTATGACACGCGATAGAAAGTCCTTTCGTACATTTAGCCCCGCATTTGACACATATACCAATCTCTTGAGATTATTATGGGTGGTAGGCGAATCCCATCAATCCCGCATATATCCGTTTAGATGAGGTCGAGAAGCATTTTCACGGCGGTTCTGAGCGTTTGACCTTACCATGCTTCTGGCAATTTTTTTTAAACGAATGTCGCATTGTCTCACTTCCGAAGCAAAACCCATCCCCGAGTACCTTCCTTACGAGGGGCTGGAGTCCCCTGAATGCTAATGGTAGGAGTGGGTGAATGAGTGGTCGCTCCATGTAGGTAGTAAGCTGGGTAAGTGCCGTATTTGTAGTCGACGAGGCGGCATTACGGGTCCCCCATGCACTGCAACCATGCGCCCCTGGATTGTCATCCACGAGTCTAGGTACTCTCAGAGATCGCCATGAGAACCGCTGGTTGACTGGATGCGGATGGGGTTCGTGCTTAAGCCGACCGAGGTATTCCCGCTTCGGCCGACAACGAATCTGTTGATTGTCTGACGCTGACTTTGCAGATATGTTCAGGTATGTATCCGTTCTTATTTGGTTGTAGAGTAGGAAAAAGGAGCCGAGCCTGGATTTCTGATGGCCCATTCCTTTTGTTTTGACGTTGTGATTCATCTTCTCGCACTCAAGTCAGAGGACCCGTCCCTCAGCTCTTCCTTCATTTTCCCTTTCGAGACTAGACGCTTCTCCAAATTCATTGAAACTTGACATCTACTTACTTCGGGTTACACTGAGATGATAGATCCCCTACATCTGTCCTAGCCGCATATAATCATACCCACAACCGATGTATGAGTGACCGTAGACAATGGGAGGTCGGCTAGAATGGCTGCTGCTGACTAGGGTCGCATCTCATGATGTACATAATCGTATGGGAGCAACTTGCCAACCTCATTTTCATTCCGAAGCCACTCTGCAGCAAACCAGCAAATCATCAAACGGAACTAACCAACTGCTGCTTCCGAGCGGAGCCCCCGGTCCACCCGAGAATAGATTACAGGGGTCTCTCTAGCTGGAGAGTCTCGCTCGGGTAGACAGGCCAGACCCTAAGGAACAGACACCGGAAGTTACTAGGCCAGGACTGCCTTAGCGGAGAGGCAATTTACTTGCCATATCAACCCCAAACATGGCTTTTGAACAGTTTAACACTAACTCTAGTGGGCTGAGGTTATTGTCCACTGTGCAGACAGAGTAGTAACCAGTGACAACTATTGCTCGATCGGCAAAGAGCGCTTCGGTTTCGACCGGATTTCATCTTTTCTTAGCTGCGGTTGTTACGGATACATCCGTTATTTTCGGCTCCGAGGCAGGACGCTGGTGGAACTTAAGGACTGTATATCTGACACAAACCGGACATGGATGTTGCATAAAAGGCTACTGCTCGGGAGTTGGCTCACCTCCCATCTCTGCATTCCATAGTCATACACATGATGAATTGAATGTGGGATCGAACA